TATATATATATATATATATATATATACACACACAAATTAATAATAATATTATACATATAATTTAATAATAATATATTTAATATGTAAGTATTTTTATTAATAAATACAGTGTGTATGCAATATACAGTGTGTATGTAGATAGATTATTACTTCAAGGGCACATTCTGCCAGGTTCTCATAATTATGCACTGCCTTGAGGCTTTAGGTTCTTTTCATTTACACAACCTGAAGGGGAACAGCCCATTATTCCCTCCAGAACTCAGTCTCCTTTTGTCTCTAATGCACTTTGAAGGTCTTAGTCCATCAATGGTTATTAATAGCCATGTTAACAGCAGACCCATAAACCTCAATTAAAATGAGGGACATATTTAGGACTGGACCGTGCTAAAAGAGCTCTTTACGACTTAGAGCGGCATGACGTGCCAAACCGTAATAGAGAGTGCATGGATGGGTCGCAGGACGCCTGATGGAAATGCAGCCTGTTGTAGCTCCACCCTCCCTATCAGCTGGGCCTCCTAAATGAGCTGTCAGCCCGTGGGTTGATGGGATATGATCTACAGCTCATGGTTCTGCCACCACATCAGCCCTGCGCTGATGAATGTCCCTGTCCATGGTGCTGAAAGCCAGTCGCTCACACTCCAGAGAGGAACTTGATGGGAGAAAGGATTTAATGACACAGAGTGCATAACCTTCCACTGTTTACATCACCTTGCCCTCCTGAGTTGAAGGTATCATGTGTCACAAGTTGGATGCAAAATTACCCTTAATCAAGGGAGGCAATAAAAGTCAAAAACCAAATGATTGGTGATGCTTAATCCATAATAGCCCAGATGTGTACATGGGTTACAGTTACCCTGCATGTCAAAGACCAGAACAGTTAATTTACAAGGGCCTCGATGCACAAAGGCTGCAAGGACAGGACTGACACTATCAACTGCTCTGAATTATGGCCCTGCGGCGGTTTGAACATTTAGGCCGAGAGCTCGCTGCAGATTGAGGTCACAAAGTTTAGTAGCGAGATAGATTTAGAGGTGGACTGTCTCAGTTTGTACAATTCAAATGAGGGGAAGTCAGAAGCCATTTCAATCACTCTAATTTTGCACGAAATGCCAGTTAACCGTCTGATGGAAACGAACATCGCCATCAGCTGCTCCAGCAGCCCTGGGGGAGCGTGCGCTTAAAATACCAGCACTTTAAATATCATGTGTATCTGAGTCAAGACTACTTTCCGGTCTCTTGGGATCTTCATTCTAAGCTCCGCAGCCTTGAGGAAATGGATTTAATTTTTATTGCGGTGTCATTCC